TGTCAAAGGGAAGCCACTCTAACCCTAGTCTATGAGACGTCGCGGCCACGGTCAGACGTTGTTGACAGTCGGTCTGTCCTGTCATAACGTTAAGAAGTGCAGTCAGATGTACACACAGCGACAAAACGAAACAAGGTAACAATTAAAACATATTTCGGCCAAATCCAACTATTTTAATTTGTGGAGAAGCCGCAGAGATCTACAAGCACAGATATGATATGGCTACTGATCCCGCTTGGCTAGTCCTCGTGCCCTCGAAAAATTGTTTCGAAATTTATATATCCAACGTTGCCAAAACTTATAAAATGCCTTATCTACGTCACAGTTAGACACTGATTTTCAGTATATTAGACTGTTCTTTTGATAATGATAGCAATTATCCCTGTAGTTTATCCAGATTCCCGATGGTTAATTCTGACTCGATCGCCGAATGACGAGGGCGACGCCATGTTTGTTTATGAACAGTGAAAGTAGTCCCTACTTGACCTTTGATATTTGCATCTCTATCCGCATATGACCCCAACGGATATCGTTTTTATCCGTTGGCTTTATCCTGCCGAGAAACCTACCCATTATATGATAAAGGTAATTATTCTAAATTAATGAGTGTGTGAGTTGGGTTTAAGGCCACTATGAAGAGCAAAATTTATTGAGAAATTATACATCAAATCTAACATCAATAGAATCTACTTGTCACTTCGGGGATCCTTGATTACACTTCCGGGATCAACATATTCCAGTGATTTCGTACTACGGAGATTCGGCATCCTAGTCTGCACCACTTGCTGTTTTAAAACAAAGTCACGTGAACTTTAATGACAGTTGGATAGACGCGATCATTGTGCTAACACTCCAATAGTTTGAATATGGGTACTAAATCCTCCCATAGTCTTCCTTGAAAGGTTCCCCTCCCATAGTTAAACAACAGCGGTCACCCTCCCATAGTATAGCACAGTATAGTGAATATCACTTGAAGATTAGTTTGGGACATTAACTTGATCGAACTTTGTTTTAAGTAGGAGAAAGTCCTCAATCACGCGATTATTTTCTCACGTGAAACTTGATCACGGCCTAACGGCCTCGAAAAAGCTTCACCGGCGAAAATAATCGCGAGATTTCGGACATTCTCCTATACTTAATCAGAGACAGGGCACTGATTTGAAACTTCTGTTATTAATGCGATATGAGGTGTGCCACGTATTTTATCTGATATGCCCAGTGTTATTAGACATGTATGGGACCCGTGAATATCCGGGGTAGAATAGGCCTTCAGCAACCCATGCTTGCCGTAAAAGAAGTGACTAACGGGATCGGGTGGTCAGGCTCGCTAACTTGGTTGATGCATGTAATCGTCTCCCAATGCCGTGGACCGATGCTCATGATGGAGTGTCTGGTTCAGACTCGATTATTTACAGACCGCCGTCATATTGCTGGAATATTGCTGGGTGCGGCTTTAAACAACAAACAAACAAACAAAAAAGAAATATGTGTATTTTGTAATGCTAGATGTGTTTTATTTTCCGGGTATATATATCATGTGTTTTTAATGACGCATGTACTAGACGAGGAAGGGATGAGGTAGTGTGTGTGTGTGTGTGTGTGTGTGTGTGTGTGTGTGTGTGTGTGTGTGTGTGTGTGTGTGTGTGTGTGTGTGTGTGTGTGTGTGTGTGTGTGTGTAAAATGGCCTACAAGTGATGTGTGTTTTTTGTGAAATATCAATGCCGTGATGTATAAGTAAATAAAAGAAAAGCGCCCAAACCCGTTCCTTATCCATGAATCCATTGTACGATTCTGGCTGTATCGCGAGCATTTGTTTATGAAGTACCATCAAACAGTAATGATACCACGTGTTCGTGAAAAGGTGAGCGTATCCAGACCCACCGATTGCACAATCACAAACACATGCAAAGGCAGCTTAATTGTTCACCCGTAAAGCCCACCGGAACATATTGTACAAAGCAAACTAGTGAATTGCATCGGGCATAATTTTTGTCATTGATGCGTCAAATCAGGAAATGTCCCCACATGTCTGAAATCTCATGTACTCAAATCGGCATTAAACCAAACTCAAATTCACTCTGACGAATCATGCATTTTATACGATTTGTAACGTGTCACCTTGGAGGTTTATTGGGGGTGTGGGAGTGGGGTGTGGGGTATGGGGGTGCTAGAGGGGTTCAAAGCTACACTTGTGGATTGGTGCCATGACAATGACTGATTTGTGCACTAACGCATTGTCCCGATGGAAAAGTACGCCTTTTCTCAGTTCCCCATGGCTCTCAGTCTTAATTTATTAGTCTTAGTTGTTCAAAAATGCATCATGATATGCTCCGTTTATTGTCTGGCCTTTTGGAAATGATGACACTCTCGACACCCCAAGAATTCCATTACCTTTCCAAGGGGACAGCCTTTGCCTTCTTTGATGACGGCGATGATTCACGCTTCCATACTTTTGATTGTTGCTTGGACTTAGACTGGAAGTGGTGAACCCAGATTTGCATCCATAGTCACAAACTCTGTTGCCCACGTCTTGACGGTGGCATAGGGAGGGGCACATTACCCACTAGATGGCTTTTGGTGTTAAGTCCTTTTTTCTGAAAGAACTTGATCACTGCATGTTCGTCAACTTTGTCCATTACCAACGGACACTGACCCCTGATTATTTCACTGATTTGTCGCAACTAAACAATTTACTCATTTGATTTAAGGTTTTGTGAATATACCTCCATACATACAACAAGACTTATCACTATTACGCACGTCTTTCTATGAAAGGACCGCCCCCGTGGTCTTGTGGTAGAGCGCGCGCGCGCGCACGCACGCACTCACACACACACACATACACACACACACACGGGCCAAGGGAGAACCCCAACGTTGTTGTGTAGACAGGCTCTTGTGATCCGTGTTGTATGCGATCGAGCGTTATCCTGCTGGAATACACCGTTGCCGTTGGCTGCAATTGGGAAGACGTGTGGTTCGAGAATTTCGTTGATGTATCGATGAGCCGTAAGATTGCCCTGGATATGGACCAAACCTGTCCTGCCTTGATGAGATATAGCCGCTGACATCATCACCCTACCCCCACCTAACCTGTCCACTTCCTGTACGCAGTTTCCGGTGTAATATTCTCCCCGACGTCTGTAGACCCGTGCTCTTCTATCCCATCGACGGAGGATAAATCTTTATTCGTCGCTGAGCCAGACATCTCTCCGTCGCAGTTGAGGCCATACCCTGTGTTGTGACACCAATGCAGTCGTTGTTGACAATGTTGTCTAGTCAATATGACGCGTCGAACAGGATGCCTTGCTCGAAGACCTGCTGCTCTTAAGCGGTTTCGTGCGGTCTGGTCGGAGATTGTATGTGACGTGTATCACGTGAGTTATATGGGAAGTATAGTGTTATATGGGACGTTTTGTGTCCATTGTGTGTGACGAGTATCAGGTGTGTTATATGTGAACTGTTGTCATACTTGTGTGTGACGTGTATCAGGTGTGTTATATGTGAACTGTTGTCATACTCGTGTGTGACGTGTATCCCGTGTATTATATGGGTAGAGTTGTGCTTTTTGGGAAGTGTTGTGTGAAATGTTGTGTTACTTGTTGTATATGACGTGTATCACGTGTGTTATATGGGAAGCATTGTGTTACGTGTTGTGTGTGACGTGCAATACGTGTGTTATGTTGGAAGTGCTGTGTTTCTTGTGTGTGACGTGTATCACGTGTGTTATATAGGAAGTGTTTTTTTAAATGTTGTGTGTGACGTATATCACGAGTGTTATATGGGAAGTGTTGTGTGATATGGGAAGTGTTGTGTTATATGTTGTATGTGACGTATATCATGTGTGTTATATAGGAAGTGTTTTTTTAAATGTTGTGTGTGACGTATATCACGAGTGTTATATGGCAAGTGTTGTGTGATATGGGAAGTGTTGTGTTATATGTTGTATGTGACGTGTATCATGTGTGTTATATGGGAAGTGTTGTGTTATTTGTTGTATGTGACGTGTATCATGTGTGTTATATGGGAAGTGTTGTGTTATGTGTTATGTGTGATGTATATCACGTGTGTAATTTGGGAAGTGTTGTGGGAAATGTTGTGTTACTTGTATTTGACGTGCATCACGTCCTTATATGGTAAGTGTTGTGTTAAATGTTGTGTGTGATGTGTATCACGTGTGTTATATAGGAAGTGTTGTGTTACATGCTTTGTGTGACGTGTATCACGTGTGTTATATAGGAAGTGTTGTGTTATATGTTAAGTGTTGTGTTAAATGTTGTGTGTGACGTGTATAACGTGTGTTATATGGGAAGTGTTGTGTTACATGTTGTATGGGACGTGCATCATGTGTGTTATTGCGGAAGTGGTGTGTTACTTGTGTGTGACGTGTATCACGTGTATTATATGGGGAAAATTGTGCTATATAGTGTGTGACGAGTGTTATATGGGAAGTGTTGTGTTATATGGGAAGCATTATGTTACATGTTGTGTGTGACGTGTATCACGTGTGTTATATAGGAAGTGTTGTGTTGCAAGCTGTTTGTGACGTGTATCATGTGTTTTATGGAAAGTGTTGTCTTTTATGGGAAGTGTTGTGTTACATGTTGTGTGACGTGTTTCACGTTTGTTATATTGGAAGTGTTGTGTTCATGTTGTATGTGACGTGTATCACGTGTGTTATATGGGAAATATTATGTCATATGTTGTGTGTGATGCGTATCACGTGTGTTATATGCAGTGTTGTGTTTTATTGGAAGTGTTGGGTTTATTCTCTATGTGACGTCTCGTTCATCGTGTCCCCCAGTGATGTCCATGTGTTCGCCATCCAGTGGTTAGAGAGTTCTATCGCATGTCTTCACTTCCTTGAAGACTGAATGTGTACAGGTATACACTTTTCAACGACAATATATTTTCAAGTAACACATTAAAAACTTCAATTAAATTTGTATCCATATAAATTAGATTATTTCTAAAAATCCAAATAAAAATAAAGTGTCTGATTATTTTTAATTCCCATTAGAAAAGTATATTCTTTTTGACACAAATAACCATTGAACCGACTTCGAAATACCGTGTTCTGCCTTGACGAAGATAACCAAGGTTGTAATGCCATGCCATTTTAATATATTTTTATATATTTTTTATTATGATCACATTTACTATTGCCATTATGTAAAGCAAGGGATTATTTTTTGTGCACAATAAGTATATCTGGGTTCAAGTCCCTTTTGAAGTAAAGTTGCTAGCTAGATATCCACTAACGCAATAGGACATGTAGAGTGTAACAGAAAAACAAAATGAAACCAAATATTTATTCATATAACAAAAATAGACATAAAACCATGTGAAAAAAGTGTAGCATAGCCAACAACAAGATCACGGTAACAACGAACAACGACACTGTCACATGGTGAGGCAGTCTTAAAAAAAGAGACATATTCATATAGGTTCCCGTGCAACGTGGCGGCCGTCCAATTTCCAGTGTCTGAAGTGATTATTATTTACGTACGCTAATCTTGGCTTGAAAACGCTTTGGGTGGCACAAACGGACCACCATTACGTGAATTCAGTAACAGTCACATAATCGTAAGACCACTCCGTGTGATAGGGTTTTATGTTAAAGGATAGGGGTTACAATAGTCGTAGAGCTGAGATCGCTTTCTGAAACGCGACCCAGGATCTCGGTCCACAAAAATTAATGATCTTAGCGATAGGACAATCGCTTCTTTAATTCATTAATGTAAACTTACGACAGTCAAAGCGCTTAAGTCGCTTTGTGGAAGAGGGCCAGGGGCGTCGTTACACAAACCCAGCATAGTGGTAGGCTTGTCTTTACGCGATCTCTGTACAAGGACATGCTGCAGCGGAACACAGGTAACAATGAGACATAGGGAAGGGAGGGTATTTGGGGAAGGATGTGTTGTGCTGGTCCACTCGTATAACGATGCATTGTTGGCGAGGAATTCAACTTAATTAACGTAAAGACAAAATTGAGACGTTATGCCTTCGCCAGCGTAAATATCATGTGTGGACCGTTGTACGAATCCTTGAGCTGCCTATGGGCGTATGGAAAAAGGAGATGGGTAGATCTATTTGTTTATGAAAATGGGCACTTGGCGGGTGTGTGAGGCTCTATTGGGTATAAGGGGCGGTCGGGTAGCCTAGTGGTTAAAGCGTTCGCTCGTCACGCCGAAGACCCGGGTTCGATTCCCGACATGGGTACAATGTGTGAAGCCCATTTCTGGTGTCCCCCGCCGTGATATTGCTGGAATATTGCTAAAAGCGGCGTAAAACCATACTCACTCACTCACTCACTATTGGATATAAATATAAAAAGAACGTCAACAATCGATTCGAAATAGGAAAGGAAGCCCCAATCACGTGTATAGGCATTGTACAAAGGTAGGTCTTTTGGGAGTAGGGCACTAGAGGACGGACAGACTGACGGAACATACATTTAGAGCTGACAGGGGACTGAATGCTGCCTCAGTATGGCGATCATTCCCGAAACATTTTCACAGACCGACAACAGGCTTAAATAGTTCAAACGTCAAAAAGACGTAATCTTACTCTACAAACAAAGAAGTATACAAACATATACAAATATATTCAAAGATACACAAATATATACAAACTTATGCAAACAATTACAAACTACAAAACAAACCCACAGAAACTACAATCGAAAACTACGACATAAACTGCCAGGCAAAGGAAAGTATACACCCACGTTTGATGATAGTGAAAATGAACCTAACAAGAAATGGTGATTCGACGGTGATGGGTTTGGACCTAAAGTTTGCAGTGTTTCGGTGACTGCTTCAAATCCTGTTTCCAAGTGCATACTTGCTGTTGCCGGGCAGTTAAGGTACACAACCACGGACCTACAACATGTTATCACTATCTCATTTTGCCAATCACTTTACCATTCGGCTTCCGTGTAATATGGAATGGTGGGCCTTGAAAACCAGCAGTACTTCGTCAGCTGTTAACATTTATTATATTTTGATTTAATGTAGACATTCTTTAATTTTTTTTGATATAAAGTCCAAACGATCTGAAGCGGTGGATGTAGCAAGACGATGTCACTGCACAGGAGGGGGCAAGTCACACATCCGGGTATTTTATACCCAGGACTGGGGAGTGTGGGAGTTAGAATTAAGGCGGGAACAACGGGTGTATGTCTTGTATTTTTGAGATCGGTAAAAGAATAACATTTTCAACTCGCGCCTGAAGTAGGCCCCGGTGATGCTGTACAGGAAGAAATTTATACAATAATTAATATAGAAAATCGAACGTGTAATCCACAGTGTTCCTTGGAAATGTTCAAAGTCACGGAAATCGTCGAATTTAGCTAAATGTACAAATTTGGAGGTGAGAAACAGCTTACACCATGTGGAGAAGTAGGGCACATTGAACACGATGAAACACAATGACACAGCTAGGAGTATCAAGGTGAACTCGAGGCGTATGATACTCTCCTCTGTGATGATCTTACACGCCATCTGCCTCTTGTTTCTCAGTACCAGCTTCCTCACGATGAGCAGATTGAGAACTGTGATGATGCAGAAGGGCACAAGCGTTATCATGACGGCAAAGATACTATCAAGGATGAAGGACAGGTGTCTGTAGTCTGGGTTCGTGGTACACATCCGACCCCATTTCTCCACATCGTTCACGATACTCAGTATTGGCTTAAAGATGTTGAGGACAAGCGACGCTATGACAAGTCCCCCTACGATGCGCCTGGTGCTGGATAACGTGCAAACGTCCCGTCGACGTAACGGATGACACACGCCGATGTAGCGTTCCACCGTGAAGGCCACGACTAGCCAGGCCGATAGAAACCTGGAGGCGTAGTGGAAATACATAATCATCTGACAAATTCCATTCACGTGCATAAACGTCACCCGCTTGTACGGGTGCAGGACGGGAATTCCCCTAATCAGCCATTCGATCATGACGTAGAACAACAACGCCGTTAAATCTGACGTTGACAAGGCGGCGAGGTAGGTGCTAGCGGAGAGGGTCCGCATTTTCTTCGATAAGAAGACGTTGAGTGACAGGGAGTTGCCGATGATGCCCACGATCATGATGAGAGGTGTGAAGTAGGCGTAAAACTGGCGTCCCATGGTCAAGATGGCGGGTTTGCTGGGGTCTTGGTGGTCCAGCCAATCGATGACGTCGTTGTATGTGCAGTTGGAGGAGTTAACCATCTCCATATTCGGGCTCTCGGCCCAAATCTTCACCATGGCTATGATGTCCGTGTTGGTCAAGCATCTTATACTGGTGTTTCCCTAGAAATATATGGATGAAATGAGATTAGTTTGAAGAATATGTCAGGACCCATAAACAGCATTAACGTAAAACAAGGCTTGATCAGAAATGGTGATCTGAAATATTTTCTCAAATGTTACGTCTCTCCCCTTTTCATATATTTAACTCGACCTTCCCATCGGGTCGTATGTTCAGGGTAGTTTCGGGGCGGTCGGGTAGCCTGGTGGTTAAAGCGTTCGCTCGTCACGCCGAAGACCCGGGTTCGATTCCCGACATGGGTACAATGTGTGAAGCCCATTTCTGGTGTCCCCCGCCGTGATATTGCTGGAATATTACTAAAAGCGGCGTAAAACCAAACTCACTCACTCACTCACTCAGGGTAGCTTCGGCCCTGCATCACACTGTACCAGTGTCAGCCCACATTACAGCTATGTAAGTTTGTAAAGAGCGTGGTCTATTACATGCCACCATTATATCCGGAAACAGGGAGGCGTGGATGGTCGGTCATGGTATACGCCTCTCATATTGATAATGATATCATAGCATCGTTTTTGTTTCTCGATATGTAGGATTCTGATCTATGGCAGATTCCCCAAATAGGCATATATTATCGCACCTGTGGTGTGGTCTTGCTATATCTATCGGTGGAGTGGTCATGCTATATCTACCTGTGATGCGGTTATGCTATATCTACCTGTTGACGTGGTCATGCTATATCTACCTGTAAGGTGGTCATGCTATATCTACCTGTTGACGTGGTCATGCTATTTCTACCTGTAAGGTGGTCATGCTATATCTACCTGTGATGTGGTCATGCTATATCTACCTGTTGACGTGGTCATGCTATATCTACCTGTGGAGTGGTCATGCTATATCTACCTGTGATGCGGTCATGCTATATCTACCTGTGATGCGGTCATGCTATATCTACCTGTGGAGTGGTCTTGCTATATCTACCTGTGATGCGGTCATGCTATATCTACCTGTGGAGGGGTCTTGCTATATCTATCGGTGGAGTGGTCATGCTATATCTACCTGTAAGGTGGTCATGCTATGTCTACCTGTTGACGTGGTCATGCTATATCTACCTGTGGAGTGGTCATGCTATTACTACCTGTAAGAGTGGTCGTGCTATATCTACCTGTTGACGTGGTCATGCTATATCTACCTGTGGAGTGGTCATGCTATCACTACCTGTAACAGTGGTCATGCTATATCTACCTGTGGCGTGGTGCTGCTGGTGAGGCCTGGGAGGGCGGCCTGGATACCGAGGTCATCTGCCAACTCTTCCTCCATGATGAAGTACGAGACAACTGATTCCCGCTGGTTTACATACCTGCAACCCAAAGAAGCACAACTGTCAGTGATTTACTCTGAAGTGAAGCAGTCATTTTGAATTAGGTGTTAACCTGATCGTAGCATCGGTGTGACATTTGTAGGTGAGACAAAGAACGTACAGTCGATGCTGGACTCAGCTGGAAGCCAGAAACTGAAATGGTGCAACAGAGAACCGTTTAGACTTGGCTTCGTCTCTATATTCCACAAGTTGTCGCAGCGCACATTGAACTGGGAACCAGCGACAGAAGCAACCGTCGGAACGTCGCATATGTGATTTAAGGAAAAAGAGTAATCGTCCATTTTGCACCTGCCATGCAGTATAACCAAACTATTTCTTGATGTTCAAAATATTTCAAAACGCAATACCAGCTTGTCAACCAAACCAAATCAATAAAACATACCAACCGATATCCGTCGCCGATTATGAAAAGCCAATTCATATTACATGTTGACATTGACGCAATGCTAGGCATCATAACAGAAATCAGATACAGCATTAAAACGAACAGCACGACATTGCAGGGTCAATCTAAGGCTTTACCGGCCTTGCGTAATCTAGAGAACATCGACTCCAGTGGCGCTCCATCAATCATTAGTCCTGATGACACGACTGATCAAATGATTATCTAATCAACAATGACTTTAGCGCCTATTAACGTTCACTATAATACTCTGTCCACAATTACTTTTTGCATTTAGCAGAAATAATCTCATAGAATCATGTCTCACGTAACGTAAATCCCCATTATAGACCATGGGGCAGGATAATGCCCCTGATGCCCCCCTCCTCCTCCCTCCTCCGTATCCGTATAGCGGATTATTGTTGTTTTCCTCTGTCAGCCCCAAGGCTTGTTGGCGTTGGGAGAGTGAAGGCCGTGCTTCGTAAGCCATGCCTCAAAGCCAACGCATCTCTGTCCTGCATGATTACAAAATATGCTATTATTTAAAAAAATAATAATGGTCTCACTTTAGAACTTAACTTTTGTAGAATTAAATCATACCATGAGAACAAAAAAAAATCAATGTCCTTGCTTTGCTTTCTTTCGGACGTGTACACGCAAGGCCACAAATGATGACCAGTGACGATTACCTAACTCCAACGAATAAGAGGTGAGGTGAGGTGAGGTGAGGTGAGGTGAGGTGAAATGGGGTTTAACATCGCGTCCAAGATTATTGCACTCATTATAGCGATGTGTGTGTGTGTGTGTGTGTGTGTGTGTGTGTGTGTGTGTGTGTGGCTGCTTGTACTAGTCCGGACTGATGCCGATTTATAATGCTAGCACACTGAGATATCATGCCTCAGTTTAACATAAATACCCCACTCAGACACAGTATACTGACGCCGAGCCGACCAGTCCTTGTTTTAGCCCTTCAATGCCGAGCGCCAGACAGGGTACAACAAGTACCATCTTTTAACGCCTTTTGTTATGACGCGGCCGGGGATCGAACCCCGGACCTTCCGCTCTCCGGGCGGACGCTCTACCACTAGACCCAACGAATAAGAACCGTCGCAGAGCAAATACAGCAGGAATCTGGTTAATATGGAAGATACCATTGCAGGTGCAATATTCCTGATTAACGCTTTCCAGATTTAGTTTTTTCTCTGTGATGATACAATGAGGTTCCTTACAGTGGTACCGCCTCCGTGGTCTAGTGGTAGAGCGTCCGCCCGGGCCCGATCCCCGGCCTCGTCATTCCAAAAGACGTTAAAATATGGTACTTCTTGTTACCATGTCTAAAACAAGGACTGGTCGGCTGGGAGTCAGTATACTGTGTCTGAGTGGGGTATTCATGTTAAACTGCGGTATGGTATGTCAGTGTGCTGGCACTATTAATCGACAACAGTCCGGACTAGTACGAGCAGCCACACATACACGTGCATGCACGTTGCTACATAAGTGCAGTAAACCCCATTTCACCTCACCTCACCTCACCTCCTTACAGTGGTTGTACGAAAAGCGATGTTTCCGGTCAAATGGGGCTCATTGTATACACAAAGCGATCGAAGCATGTGCCAAAACCTAATAAGATACAAATGAAGCCACAGTCGACATGTGACCAGCACTATGTATAGGTGTTCCTGCCGTTATAGGGGATGTGTACACACAAAAGTCACTTTCTTCCTTATTTGAAACAAAACGCAATTTTAGAATTAGTTTATATAAATGTCTTCATCATTATTTATTCACGAAATATAGGCCATTGGGTCATTACATGTTGCAACGGTGCTATGAACCGCTTTAATGCAAAAAAATAATTAATTACTTGTGATATGAAACTACTTGGTAAATGCTTTACATGTTGAAAAAGTACAAGAAAAATGATTCATTTTCGTGTGAACTTGCCCTGAAAGAGCACCACGTTGAACCCGGCAAATGTTCACGTCTCAATGATGGCTGTGCACAAAGGGCTGTCTATAATACGTCTTCATGGAATGTGACTTAACCCCTCTGATCAATAACCGCGAGCGACATATGTGCATACTAAACTCCACTTCAAACAACCACCGCTTTTAACATATAATATGCTGTTATTACGCGTCACCCTGGGCGAACTGTAAAAATACGCCCGCGAACAAACTGGCGACATGGCGTGGTGACAAGGCACAGAATACGTAAACGTTGTTTAAGGAAACATGCATTATTGATAAGCAGAGATGTCTGGATGTAATGAGGATATGATTCAACCGTTATGTGATTACCTTCCTTTACACGCTACTGTAGTTTCAGCGCTACATGAACACGAATACAACTGAGGTAATTTAAGTGAGTGAGTAAGTGAGTATGGTTTTTACGCCGCTTTTAGCAATATTCCAGCAATATCACGGCGGGGGACACCAGAAATGGGCTTCACACATTGTACCCATGTCGGGAATCGAACCCGGGTCTTCGGCGTGACGAGCGAACGCTTTAACCACTAGGCTAGCCGACCGCCCCGAGGCAATTTAAGTTGCATACACACATACAGATATTATTTTCGGCAACAGATGCCTGACCTCTACTATTATACTACCAGGCATTCTCTCACAATGACACCAGCATAAATCCATTTTTTCTAATCCGGGTTTTCCCTTCACTGGTAATTTCAGGATATTAAAGCTACTGAATGTAAGCTACGAAGTATACAAGTTGAAACTACGAAGTATACTTATAGAATCAGAGTGACAGTGCCCCCTGTAACTAATCACCAGCTATAAATACGAGGTATACTTATAGAATCAGGGTGACAGTGCCCACTGTAACTTATCACCAGCTGTAACTACGAGCTATACTCTGTTTGTCAAAAATGAAAGTATTTGCCATCTGAAGTTTACTGAGAAAACGGTATGTGAAATGCTGGACTTCCTCGTACATGACATCTGTACATAACATTTAGGACTAAGACGTAGGAAGCCCCACGGGCACCAATACTGCTCCCCGTCTTGCTGATCTGTTGCTTTTGGCATAGGAATCGGAATTTATGCGAGGATTGGCAAAATCACGACAATGTAATTTGGCCAAGAAGTGTAACTTAAGCTTCTAGTATAGGCATGATCTGACATTGTTCAATAACCATCAAATAGCCAATCCCCTTCCATCGATTCACCCACCTGAACTAGAAATAAAGGAGACCAGTGAGACAGCTTCATCTGTTTCATATTAAAGATCTATGCATAAGGATTCAGATTGACACAACAAGAGTGACTTCAATTTTCCAATCGTCAACTTTCTCTTAGTGTCGAGTAATATTCCTGCAGCTCCAGCTTTGGTGTCTACATTTCACAACTCAGAAGATGTTTGACCAAGGTTACAACATTCAAGGCCCCAGTAAAGCTTTCAAAAGTTTTATGGCAGACATGAGGAGGCCATTCCCTATTTTTCAGATGAACAATTGACTTGCCTTTGCATGTGTTTGTGATGGTGCCACAGGTGGGGCAGGATGCCCTCACTTTTTCGCGAACACCTAGTATCATCACTATTTGATAGTGGTTTTTACAAACTTGCTCATGATATCGTCGGAATCGTACAATCAAATCAGACGCACCCAGTTATGCAGCAGATATAACACATATGAACCTAACAATGTAGAAAACAGGTTTATCTTTGTCTTACTAACTTAAATGTATTATTGCATCTCTTGGTGACTGTATCATGTGAATTATACGCTCGCCACAAACAAACCATGCCATTAGAACGACTTATCCACTTTGATATATACAGTCAGAATTGGTTTGCTTGAGAGCAAGGACAGCCAGAGAGAATCCAAAGGTCAGCCTGAGAGAATCCTAAGGACAGCCTCAGAGAATCCTAAGGACAGCCTGAGAGCATCCTAAGGTCAGCCTGAGAGAATTCTAGGGTCAGCCTGAGATAATCCTAAGGTCAGCCTCAGAGAATCCTAAGGTCAGCCTGAGAGCATCCTAAGGTCAGCCTGAGAGTATTCTAAGGTCAGCCTCAGAGAATTCTAAGGTCAGCCTGAGAGTGTCCTGAGATCAGCCGATTCAGAATATTGCTTGGTGCGGCGTTAAACAACAACCCAAACCAACACAACACCTCTTTCATCCAATATCGTATCATGTGACTTTAATTACATCGAAATAAAAGCCTGGATCGCAGGGTCGGTAAACACGGACCATGTAACGCTGACGCTGGACTAAGTAGTGTCATAAAGTCCCCAGACAGATGCAGGTCCATTAGTGCCATAGAGATGGGACGGACTACAATGCACGGCAGCTACAAAGAAGCTGATGCTGGGGCTAATAAACGTTGTCACAAGAGACTGGAGGCATCGACTGATAATGCGATCCTCCCTATGTGCTTTTGGTGGTACAATATACGTCAGTGAAAATACGTCAATCCAAGGTCAGGGTCGTGATTATGGAACAGAAGAAGTGCAATTATATAGCTGTCATATCTTCGTAGAACGTCTTGCTGGTGTGTACCTTTTCCGACATTATCCATATGTACACAGACATCATCTTCTTACTTATGGTATTGTGATTGTGGGGAAGCGCTTTGCAGT